GTTTTCTTTGTGGGAAGGTGTTCTTAATTATTAATTGAAATTATGTAGTACATACAGCACTACTCATATTATCTATTTTTTCTTGTGTCATTTTAATAGATGTCTTCCAAGATATCTGTTCATTTTGTTGAATTCCAAATTTAATGACATAAAGTTGTTCATACTCTTCCCTTATTATCTTTTAAATATATTTGGTTCTGTACTGATGGACTCTCTTTCTACCCTCAGGTTGATAATTTGTATTTTCGTTTCTTCTTGATAGGTCTGGCTAGAGGTTTATTAATTTTAGTAATCATTTCAAAGAATACTGTTTATTTTTTTCAATTTCATTGTTCTCCATGCTAATCTTTATTTTGTGTTCAATTTGCTCCTCTTTGTCTAGGTTCCTTTTCAGAGAGCATAAATTACTGATTTTGAATCTTTCTCCTTTTGAGGTTCCTCATCAATCCTTACGGCTTGGCTAGGACTTCTATTTCTGCTCTGAAAAAACGGCACTTTATTAGTTTTCCAGTTAAATTGCAATGTGAGTACAAATAACTGGGGCTTATGTACCTAGCTCAGAAACACAGTCCAGTCCATATGTACTTCAATGACAGAATAATAACATTTTGCAGAATAAATGCCCTATATTTATTATAAGTATTCTAAGCAAAAATTGTTAGTAGAGCTTGTGAGGCCCAGAGAGAAGGGGCCCTTTAAAACTCAGTTCAGCTCCTTTTCCACCCTGAGAAGCATCCCCTTTAAAAGAATTACCACCCAGATGATGTTTGATGTTTCTGACTTGGCATCATGCTGTGGAAGAAAGATCAGGGGTTTCAAGTCAGATAACTCAGATGTTTACATTTTGGGTTATTTCTTAGCCTTTCTGAGCATGTTTCTGGTTTGCATGTGGTATTACCTGCTCTCCACTCTTTCCTCTTCAGGAGAGTCTATCTGACACCCACATCCATGGTCATTTCTCTTATTATGGGCTTTCGTACTTAATGTATCTTCCCTTTGAAGCAATTGTCAAAATTTCACTTTTCATTTAAGCATGTAATTATTGATTTAGCCTCCGTCCGCCTCCTGTTGCAACCTCGGCCTGAGACTGTAGGCTACACGGAGCCAGGGACCAGGAGCGTTTCCTGTACCCGGGCTCACTCCATCGTGGTGCACCAGAGTCTAGCACAGTGCCTGGCACACAAGCTGCCAGCGAACAAATGAATGACAAAGGGGTTGCCGCCTGTGGCCCAAGCGCAGCAGCTGGGTGTGGAGGGAAGCGCCCAGACTCGCAGTTCCGGCCCAGGCATCGGGATAACAAGCCCCACGGCGAGGCCCAACCCGGAGATCCCGATCCACCCCCTGGGGCAGCGCTTTGCCAGGTGACGCCACTCGGGGGTGGGACTTCCGGCCGCTGAAGTTTAACAGTCAGGGCGGGAGCCGGAAGCCCAGCGGGAGCGGGTCCGTGCCGCGGCGC